CATTAAGAATTCAAAATTTCTGAACTTTGCTGATGATAAAAAAATTTATAAAGTCATTACTTGTCAGTATGATCAAATTCAGTTACAAGAGGATCTCAGCAGATTTAGCGATTGGTGCAAACTAAATGAATTAAAATTGAACATTGATAAGTGTTGTGTTATTACTTTTCACAGAAAGCAAACAATTTTAAATTACGATTATAGCATTGATAACACTCAGCTGTCAAGGCAGGACTGTGTTAAGGATTTAGGTGTTTATTTTGATTGTAAATTAACATCTCGTAATCATCTAGAGGTCACATTAAACATTGCATTTAAACAATTAGGGTTTATAACTAGAAACACTTCTCAATTTTCATGCTTTGTTTTACCAATTCTTTTTAATAGTCTCATTCGTTCCAGACTAGAATATGCAATAGTTGTATGGGGACCTTACTATCAAACCTCTATTTTGTAAACACTATCATTACCGTAGTGCTTTTCATGACCTTTCTGTCCCATACAGTTATAGTATGATAGCTGATCACTTAAAAATGGTTTCCATGAATCAGCGAAAAGATTATTTATGCCTAATATTCCTTTACAAAATTGTTAATAATTTGATAAATTGCCCTGAACTTTTAAATCGATTAGGTCTTAACACTCTTCATGGAACTAGACATACTTCATTGTTTGATCTGCCATTTCATCAATTTAATTATGAATTCTTCAAGCCTCTTACTAATATGTTGAGACTATATAATAGGTACCAAAGTGATCTGGACTTATTTTTCCAGTCCTTAGAACAATTTAAAAATGTGATAAAGAGACTGCTATTTGTGTAATATTAGTTTGTATTGAAGTTAATTATTAGTTTTTGATATTAGTTTGTATTCAAGTTAATTATTAGTTTTGTTAAACTTTACTATTATTTTCCAATGTTGTGCTTACTTTATAAAATTTTATATATATATATATATATATATATATATATATATATATATATATATATATATATATATATATATGTTGTTCCAATGTAAAAATGGTATATCCGTTAATAAATAAATAAAATAAATAAAGTATACGCACCAACAGCGGATAAAGATGAAGAGGAGATAGAATATTTTTATATGGAGTTGAACACAATTTTAAGATCTATTACAAAAGAAGACATTACAATAGTAATGGGGAACTCTAATGCTAAAATCGGGAGAGTAAAAGTTGACGAATATGTTGGGGAATTTGGACTAGGTGACAGAAACGAAACAGGGGATAGACTTGTAGATTTTTGTCAAAATGAACATTTTGCAATAATGAACACAATGTTCCAACTACCCGATAGAAGAATGTACACTTGGAGATCTCCTACAGACAACAAAGACCGCATAGTCAGAAATCAAATAGACTATATATTAGCCAAAAATAGATACAAAAGCTCAATTAAAGCAGTAAATCCACGTGAAACTCAAAAATATTGTAATACCTAAAAATAAACAGTTTGATTACACAAAATTAAGAAAAAGATAAATACATCAAAAAGTGATCCAACAAGTCAACTCAAATCTAACAGAAGTGGGAGAAGAAATCTTAACATCAGAAGATGTCAATGAAAAGTGGAGCAATATCCAGGAGGCATTACTAAATGCTGCAGAAGAAAATTTAAAGCCTAAAAAGACAAATAAAAAACAGAAGTGGATGACTTTAGCAATTTTAGCATTAATGGAAGAGAGGAGAAAAGCCAAAGGGAGAAATGAGCCAAAATATCAAGAACTACAAAGTAGAATTAAAATAGAGATATAAAGGCCAAGGAAAAGCGGTTAAAAGATTAATGCATAGAAATAGAAGAGTATGACAGAAAATACGACAGCTTTAATATGCATAAAAAGATAAAAGAACTAACAAATACCAAAAAGCGAGCACACTATGGGATACTCAAAGATGATAATGGTAAACTCATTGCAGACATAAAATATAAACTAAGATTTTTGCAAAAATACATAATGAAACTATTCGACGATGATAGAATGATACAAGAAGAACCACGGGAACAAACAGGATCCTAAAATAATTATGTGCGAAATAGAACTATCATTAGAAATGCAAAGACCGCAAAATCAGTAGGCCCAGATCAGATACCCTCTGAGCTAATTAAATGCACTGACGAAGAAACACTGCATATACTTTTAGATCTGTTCAACAAAGTATTTACAACAGGAGTAATACCCCAAGATCGGTTGCTGTCCACGTTTGTAAAACTACCAAAGTCAGTACATGCGTCCGAATGCTCCCAGTACAGAACAATTTCCTTAATAAGCCACACACTTAAGATATTTCTCAAAATAATACATGAAAGTCTATACAAAAAAATAGAAGATATAGATGACACCCAGTTTGGATTCAGAGGACGACTAGGAACGAGAGAGGCTCTGTTCGCTTTTAACGTTCTCGCGCAAAGACGACTAGATATGAACCAGGATCTCTATGTCTGCTTTATAGATTATCAAAAGGCTTTTGATAGAGTACGACATCAGAAACTCATAAAACTGTTAAAAGAAAAGAATGTGGATAGTCGAGATATAGGGTTATTGTCAGTATGTACTGGAATCAAAAAGCAAAGGTTAGAATCGAAAATGTCGATACAGAAACAATAGAAATCAAAACAAGTGTTAGACAGGGTTGCGTGCTGTCCCCATTGTTATTCAATCTGTACAGCGAAGCTATTTTTAAGGAAGCAATATCAGAGGAACAACAGGGTATATCAATAAACGGAAAAATCTTAACAACATAAGATTCGCAGACGACACCGCTGTTATTGCAGACAGTCTAGAAGCATTGCAACGCTTAGTAAATAGACATAGACTTTGTATCTAGATGATCAATACAAATATCTGATAGCAATGGCTTGGAGGATTACCCATTATAAGTCCTGCACTTTTATTTGTATATATTTGATTATTAAATTAAAAATAGTCCTGGTTTATTCAAATTTCAAGAAGATGTAAAATTTCAGATGTAATGATTGGATTTGTATTTTAAAAACGATTTCCAAAGTGGAAATTGAAACGTCAATAAATTTATTTTAAACTTAAATTGTGGTTTATTCTCAATAAAAATAGTAATTGCATTATGATGCCACAAGAAAATATCTTCAAAGAACTACGGATAAAAATAGATTTACTATAAGACAAATTTTGATTTATTGACTGTGGCTTACTACAAAATAAACAACTCATCGAATGCGACATAGCAAATATAGCAAATAAAAGAGGAGGAAATAACGAATATATTAGGATAGAAAAAATTAATTAGTTTTTAAAATGAAAAAGACAGCAAATATTTGATTTCACGCAAACAGCGCCCATGTATCTGTTGATACGTATTTCGATCTAATAGGTCTCATCAGAACAGTTATTCATAGGTGTTCTCAACGTGAAAAATCAATATTTTCTGTCTTTTAAGAAGCAACACTAAAATGGCTTCAATACGGACGCAATAGCGTCATCTAATAATAAAATCCGTAAAATAGTTTCGAAACACAATTCAGATTTCTGCTTATAATCTGAGTCTTCTAAAAATTTCAAGGCAAACAGACGTTGATAAAAGATGTTAAAAGGGGACATGGGGAATCTCAAATTTGCATTCCACGACATGTCTTTACAACTAAGCAGAAATCCTTAGCGAATTGTGTTTCTTGTACTCGTACAGAGTAGATCCGAATAAAATGAAAAAGATTTTAGATTCCCCATCTCCCCTTTTAACATCTTTTATCAACGTCTGTTTGCCTTGCAATTCTTAGAAGGCTCAGATTATAAGCAGAAATCTGAATTGTTTTTCGAAACTATTTTACGGATTTTATTATTAGATGTCGCTATTGCGTCCGTATTGAAGCCATTTTAGTGTTGCTTCTTAAAAGACAGAAAATATTGATTTTTCACGTTCAGAACACCTATGAATAACTGTTCTGATGAGACCTATTAGGTCGAAATACATATCAACAGATACATAGGCGCTGTTTGCGTAAAGTCAAATATTTGCGGTCTTTTTCATTTTATTCGGATCTGCTCTATGCGAGTACAAGAAACACAATTCGCTAATGATTTCTGTTTAGTTGTAAAAACATGTCGTGGAATGCAAATTTTAGATTCCCCATGTCCCCTTTTAACATCTTTTATTAACGTCTGTTTGCTTTGCAATTTTTAGAAGGCTCAGATTATAAGCAGAAATCTGAATTGTGTTTCGAAACTATTTTACGGATTTTATAATCAGTTTTTATTACTAATCGTGGAGATATAATGACGACTATTAGACCGATGTCTGTTTGTTACTAAGTAGCAAGAAACACGATACTATAGCTGATTATTAGCAGTGTAACGTGTTTGTTCGTCTTAAAACGTTTTAGTTTGCATTTTTCATATTCATTCATAATATTAAAATAAATCTGCATAGAATATTTTTAGTGTGACAAAACAAAAGCATTTTAGTAGAACAGCATACGTTCGAGAATCTCGTTTTGTATTAGATGAAAATTTAATTTTCGAACTGAACTTTCTAATTGTGGAAACCTTCAAATAAAAAAATCTGCAATTAGTATGCGAAAAGGAAAAAAATCGTCTTTATTAAGTCAGAGAAACGTCCTTGTTAAGTACAATCAGAAAATAATTTTCGCAATAGGGTTCAAATCTAAGTACCTATCAAATACTTAAGAAAACTAAGACAGGAAAGTATTTAAAAGACGATATCTAATATTTTACATATTTTATTAAATAAATAAATACACTCTCCCGATTAACATATTTCGTACAAACTGACTCACCCCGTATAATCAACAAAAACATGAATTCCAGTCGCGAACAATATCCTACCACGCATTTCCAAAGCATCTATTGTTAAATTTCAACGTCCTATTTATCGAGACACCGTGTTCATTTGATGCTATCTTTGGAGGAATTAAATAAAGCCAACTAAATTTTCTGGCACCTGATTCTTTCTCCAGGAAACTTAAAAATAGACAGCTGGACAATTCTGGGCCACTTGGCGTACTATGTTTTTTCTTATTACCACACACTGACCACCGTTATGTCTGACCAACAATTCGTTCTCAGATGGCATTACCACGAAAATACATTAGTTCACAATTTACCATGTTTTTTGGATGGAGACATTATGACCGATGTCACCCTTTCAGTAGGGAGCCATCAGGTGAAGGCGCACAAAATTATACTGGCCATGTGCAGTGTGTACTTTCTTCAGTTGTTCCAGGTATGTCGTTTTTATTTCGGCGTGTTTGTGTTTTTATTCACAAAAATTGCGAAGAATGAAATGTGTATAAATAGACGCGTCCACGTCTGATTTATTTATAGTGTTGAAGTTCGATAGACATAAATATTTCCGCTTCCTTATTATTATATAAAGCATTTGAAATATGTATTAACATCTATAATAAATAATATTTGTGACACATTTTTTGTGATGCTTTATATTTTCACTTACTTAAAAATGGAAAATAATAAATATATATACCGAGTGCTACACTTAACGAAGCCTTCTGGACTTACAACACAATACCAAACATTCCTTCTTGGTAGGAATATGTAGGTTAGTAACAGCATAGTTTAAAATTTAAAAGATATATAAATATGATCAAGAAACTCATAAATCATAAATACATCGGTAGGTATATAAAGTTTGAAAAATCCAATCGAAATGAATTAAAAAAATATTTTAGATTCCAATATGGTTTTAATCTTTGTGTAAATATAGTCTTTTGCATAGAGTCTAATTAGTCAATTTTTACTACACAAGGTTAACATAATATATTTTATTGTAAACAGTAAGCATAACTGAATATTTAATAAAAATACTACAAAAAATAGATTCAGAACCATGGTAAAAAAGCTGTATCGAAAAAAATACAATAAATAAAACATATAAATATTGTTCTGAAGCTATTTTCTTGTGGCGTTTTAAAGTCATTACTATTTAAATGGGAATAAGCCATAATTATAGGTTAAAGCAAGATTATTGACGTTTCAATTTCCACTTCGGAAATCGTTCTCAAAATACAAACATTAGTAAATTAAATAAATTTTGTTTTTTCTAATAATTTAATTGTATCTGACTCGTTTATATTGACAATTCAGATATACATTTTAAAGTAATATTGTGGAGTTGCATTCCTGGGACGACTTTACTTGTAAGATAGTTCATTCGATTATATAAAATCAACTTTAACTTGAGAATATCCGTCAGAAAAAAAGCCGGACCAAATAAATGAGACGTTTATGTTTGTAATTTAAGCGCTAAAGTCTATTAGATTTTAGTCTGGTAAGGGCAAAAACATTGTACAACGACGAGAGTCGAAACTATCAACGAGGTCAGCGACGTGACTAAAAACATGTAGAAAGTTCAGATAAAAACAAAATAAAGCAATTCATGATTCGATTTTTATTATTAGTGTTTTTGTAATGTCATGACCGTGATCGATCATTGGATATCATGTTGGCTACTATATTCGCTATCGTGACTTAATGGACAGCAGCTCTAATAATATTGATGTAGTCGCTTTATTGTGTCATTGTCTTAGACTTTTCAGCCATGATGTTCTTCTAACGGTACCTACTCGGCTTACCTTGGATTTTTCCCTGAATAATGAGAAGCAAAAGGTTATATTTTTTAGGATGTCCCATAATGTAACGAGTATTCCAGCTTGCATCTCTTTATTATATTGATCAATGATCACTCAAATCTCAAAGCCTTTCAAGCCTTTAAGCATAACCTCACTACGCGCTCACTAATATTTCTGATCTGCACTCAAGTCAATTAAATCTACTTATGATAACTCACAGACAATAATGTTATAGTTTACTACTGGCATATTCTCGCACTGCATTATTTGATTTTCTATAGTTCTTGCAAAAGCTCTTGGACCTTGAGTTTGACCGTCAAGCTTTTGGAAAAGATGGAAAAGAGGCAATTCATTAGCGTGCAGATGACAGACAAATATTTGTAAAAGGCGTTCTAACTTTAACCGTTGATTGATCAATCAACGCTTTAACTCTATTCTAGTCTCTCTTTAAATCTATTCTTTAACTTTAGTTGAGAAATCACACCATTTATTCTACCCGTTCTTTATTTTACCACAGTTCTGTCACAGCGTTTTATCACTAGTTCTTCTAGATTATATATTATAAATCTCTAAAAAGTTGACAATACTTTGACAAATGCTTAAAGCCGATCTAGAAATGGGTACTGTGTCACCTAAAAATATAGAACCTGACTCTTGAACTAATGAAACATGCTCTTCGAGTGGTTCTTCTGTAGGGATTGCCTTCAGTATTATCGATATCTAAGGTTTTATCTTTCCTTTCATCAAAATATAAGGCCTTCAAAGTTTCGGAGGAGTTTTGCATAAAAGTTATTGGTTTCTTGCTCTTCTCAGTTTATTTACTTTTTTCGTGTTAGCGTTGGTAACAATTCCAAGGTTGTGTAGCACTGCCGTTGCCACAACTGCTGCAGATCTGTCCGATAGTCCATAGTGGTCACAGCCTTTGGCCTAGTTAGGGAGTTTGAAATAATTTTCTGTACACTGCATTTCTTTATTCATATTGGCATGCGAAGTGGAAGCCAATTCATGATCTATTTCTGTATCAGCTTCTAGCTTCCGCGACGTGCGGACTTACTGAAAGCTGCAGCAGCCCCGCAAATGGGACTAGATTAGACAAACCATGACCGTCAAGACCGGGCTTCTGTTAATAATGCCAACATCTTTTTTTTGTTTTTCAAGAACTTTAAGATGACAGATAATGTAATTTTATCCAAATGTCATAATAATACTGTAAAATAGTTTCGAAACCAATTAAGATTTCTCCTTTAATCTGAACCTTCTAAAAATTGTAAGGCAAAACAGACGTTGATAAAGATGTTAATAGAGACAAGAGGAATCTAAAATTTGCATTCCACGACATGTCTCCTCAACTAAGCAGAAGTCCTTAGCGAATTGGTTTCTTGTACTCATACAGAGTAGATCCGAATAAAATGAAAAAGACAGTCAAGATTTGATTTCACGTACAAAGCGTCTATGTATCTGTTTATACGTATTTCGCCCTAATAGGGCTCATCAGAACAGTTATTCATAGGCTTTCTCAACGTAAAAAATAAATATTTTCTGTCTTTAAGAAGCAACAATAATTAATTTAATTAATTAACACCAATTCGCTAAGGATTTCTGCTTAGTTGGGGAGACATGTCGTGGAATGCAAATTTTAGATTCCCCATGTCTCTATTAACATCTTTATCAACGTCTGTTTTGCCTTGCAATTTTTAGAAGGTTCAGATTAAAGCAGAAATCTGAATTGGTTTCGAAACTATTTTACGGATTTATTATCAGATGTCGCTATTGCGTCCATATCGAAGCCATTTTAATATTGCTTCTTAAAGACAGAAAAGATTTATTTTTCACGTTGAGAAGGCCTATGAATAACTGTTCTGATGAGCCCTATTAGGGCGAAATACGTATAAACAGATACATAGACGTTTTGTACGTGAAATCAAATCTAGACTGTCTTTTTCATTTTAGTCGTAATAATACTTTCTTATAACCGTTACTAAAAGTAACTTTTGGTGGGTATTCCAATTCAATTTGTCAATTTTTTTTGGATTTGTCAATTTGGATTTTCATATGAAGACCACACGGAAAAAAGGCGAAATGTCACAAGGAGGTTAATTCGAGAAAATTGAATTTTTAACTTTCTAACCCTAAACATCATCATACAATTAAATATTTTGCATACTTCTTTATTTAAGTAGTCTACATAGTTATTTTGTAACGTATTATTTAATCAACGGAATTTAAAATAAAACACAAAAGTTAGAAACATTGCTTGATGTAAACACGAGTCACTACAAACACGGGAAAAAAAGCGAAATATATGACAATTTTTTTTCTGTTTTTCATTTGTAGGTACTTTTATTATTTTCTCCTCATTTTGTTTACGTTTTTGTTGCTTTTTTTGTAAGGTAAGCATCTATAGAACGATCTAGCCCTTTCAGACGTGCAAAACTGATGTGAAAATAATTTCCTTAGAAATTTTTCTTAGCTCTAAAAAACATCTCTATGTAAGATCATATCTCGATCGCACTCCATGTAAGAATGACCTCGTATTGGGAAGGTTACTTTGATTGGGTCCAACCTTTTTGCAGTTTTAACTACATAGTGAAGATAGCGGAAAACAGTGAAGTTATTATTTTGGCCGCCACATGAATCACAGAATATGTGGAGGTGACGATCTCACAGATCAAGCTGAACAAAGATAAAATGGTGCAGAAATGACACTACTTCGTTTGAACCTTTGCCTCCTATGGTTTCTGGAAAACAAAAAAATGTAGCATTTCCTGTTGACAATACATGAATGTTAAAGGAGTGAAGCGTCAGTTGTCTCTTATAGTAGACGTCGTTGGTCGGAATATTTGGAGTGGATAAATTTTTTTCAAAATCTATAGCGACTGCTTCACAGTTAACATTCTGCATTGCTACTTTCCTTGCCTTTCTCTTTATTTCATAAAATGCTTCCGCTTTGGATTTGTTTAGGCTATTTGCCAAAGTTATTCGTTTTATCTCAACTACTATCTTTTGTTTTTCAGAGGCATAATTTGTTTCATTCAGTTTATTGTAAAGGACCTTAAGGTCAGCCAAGAAATGATTGCAAGCACTACACGTATCACTCCGCGGATAGCCGAAGCTAATGTTAAAATGCTTATTAAAGATTTGTCGATATGTTTCGTAAGATACAGGAGTGCCCTTATCGGATTTGTACATAGAGTACATTTTCTTAATATTTAAGTCATCTGGAAGGTACATTTTCTTAGTTTAATTTTTACTATAATGGCTTTCTCTTCCTTTAAAACGCTTTATGTGTTCAATAATTTCATCTAGCTGTTGTTTGTAAAACAATTTGTAAAAACGTTTATTTATTCCATATTGCTATACGAAGTGGAAACATGGACTCTCGGAATTACAAGTATGAGGCGTATAGAAGCCTTTGAGATGTGGGTTTTTCAAAGGATGTTGAAGATATCTTGGACAGAGCACGTGACCAAAAAGGAGGTGCTAAGAAGAATGGTTACTGAGAGAGAACTCCTAAATATTGTAAAAAACAGAAAAACGAGTTATCTAGGACATATTTACAGAGGAGAAAAATACAACTTCCTACGACTTATAATGGAAGGGAAAGTGGAAGGAAGAAGAGGTCCAGGAAAAAGAAAATGCTCCTGGTTGAAGAATTTAAGAGACTGGACAGGTATGGACACACATTCGATACTAAGAACAGCTCAAGATAATAGAGCAATTTGCTGTAGTTATAGCCAACCTTCAGTAATGGAGAAGGCATCTTAAGAAGAAGAAGCTGTTGTTTTGTTAATGCGTGTTTTTTTGGATTTTTTCCGAGTTTGTCAATTGGTGCACTATTAGTAAGTTTTGAACTTTTTTGAATATCTTCAAGTCTATTCCGACCAATGCCGGTTTAGAAAAGTAGAAAAGGTTTAAAACAAACTGGGACATCAGTAGTTTTATCGTCAGTCGTTATTCTAACTCTAAAAGAATACGTTGCATCATGTAATCTTGATGTAGCTTCATCTCGGGCTCTTTTTTGCTTTACGGGTATTAACGTTATTAGGTCTTCATATGTATCAGATTTGTGATGCGCCTGGCTTTTTCCACGTCCTCTTTCTCCAGTGTAAGTACAAACATTGGCAACTTTCTTCTGTCACATTTTCTGGAGGTCATGTTTTCGACTAATTCACACTTGTCTTTTCTCTTAAATCTCTACCTCTTATTTCTGCTATACTGCTTTTATCCATTTCTTTTTTTTTTTGGCGTCCTCTTTTTTTTGTCATTTCCGCTTCTTCAATATTGTTTTAACATTTGAATTCTCTGACATTCGTATAATACGACCAATTGTATTTTTACCGTCACTATGGTTTTTCATACATCCTCATTATTTCTTCATTTGTTTGTCTTCCCCAAATATTCCCTGCCGCCTGTATTCCTCTGAAAAATTTTTTGTGCCCCTTTCTTTTCCAGATCTCTACTTTCTTTTCTTCCTACTAGTTCATAATCCACGTTTCGCTGGCATACATCACTGCGTATCTGATTACTGTCTCGTAGACTCACAGTCTCTAATAAAAGAATAACATTGTATATATTTTTAGGAGATGAAATCAGCACATCCAGTAGTAATTTTACATAACGTCAGTTTTGATGAAGTGAAAGCCATACTGTCCTTTATGTACAGAGGTCAGTGTGTGGTTTCCCAGGATCAGTTGCCCAGTTTACTTTCAGTTGCGAAACTATTAAAAGTTCAAGGCCTTTGTGATATGAAGGTAAGGAAGTTTTTTTAAATTTATTTTCACGAAATTTATTGGCCAAAAATAAATTAAATAAAACAAGGCAGTACACATCAATTTTAACAAAACTAAAGCTACATAATGAAATAAAGCAATACAACTGCTTTAAAAATAAAGTGATTTGAATTTATATGCTACTCTACAAAAATCTTTTTGAAAAAGAACCGCTGATGAAATACAAACCAAAAGATATAAAAAAGATAAAACCAAACTATATAAAAGACATACATAGTAGGTTGGAGAAATTTCCCTTTTTCCACCCCCGTGGATGATAAACCTCAGGAAAACTACATTTATAATATAACGAAAATGTTAATGAGAGAAAGAAGAACTCTTATAGAAATGGAAGAGAAAGTGTAGAAATTACAGAACTGAATCATAACGTCAGAAAATTAATAAAAGGTCAAACATGAAAGAAGTAGGAGGAACGCATCGAAACCATAATAGAAAGAAGTAGAAACTTAAAATGCTAGACCTAAACTAGGCAAAACATAATTAAATAATATAAATAACAACAATAGAGAAGTGACAAGGAGCAGTAATGGGATCCTTACGGTCACACAAAAATATTATCAAGGACTTAGCAACAGTCTAACTACTAAATAGGTTATTGGTCTTTAAATTTAGGAATGTAAAATCCGAACACTAGCCAGAAATTAATAAAGCAGAAATAAGAAAAGCATTTAAGCAAATGAAAACCAACAAATCGACAAGAAAAAATGAAGTCGCTACAGAAATATAAAAGAATGAAGAAAAGGCTGTTATCCGTACACTCCACCCACTGTTAAGTAAAATATTACCAGAAAAGATCCCCGAAGACTAGACGTAGCATGTGACGGGTAGCCCTTAGTCCGTGTCAGATGGTCAAATATTTGATCAAACTAGTTTGAGCAAACTGACACAATGACGTCCTAATTACATGTCCTGTTACATGATCATTCAAATTTGATCAAATTGTGTTTTATTTATTTTGCTTATTTATTTTGCTTGTGCTTTATTTACGTTTCAAATTTTTCTTATTAACAATATAAATTAAACTTTTATTTTTATTTTATAATAAAATAGGAAGACAAATAAACCGCAATATCATCCACAGAAAAAAAGAAAATTAATTTCATCACGGTGTGTCCAACTGTTGATTGTCTTTTGTCTTTAGATATTTTTCGACGAATCAAAATTAAAGTTTGATCAAACAGACCTTGAAAAATAAGATCCTCTATTTTTAAAGGATTTGATCAAATTCAAAATGTAACCGTCTGACACGGACTTTAGACAGCAGACTCAGTAAAACTCAGGTTTAATTAAAATAAAAATATATTTGAAACAAATAAATAACAGACAAATAAATAACAAAATAAAATTATATTAGATCTATACTCGATGACCGGTCTGATGAATGTTTTATACGTGTGTATTAATGTACGCGGGTGTGTTCTTCCGAAATTACAACTAAGACTATTGAGAATCCCGAGTCTGCTCCTTGCCTTGTTACAGACTCTGTCCAGATCGGCCGTCCAGTTAAGCGTTTTAGTAAACACTACACCGAGGTAGGTACTCAATCTGGTCACGGAGCTGAAGTCGGTCGCTCCACATTGTGGCGTACGCTGCTTTATATGGTCTTCGGCCTTCCATTTCCTCTAACACGCATCGATGGAAGAGGAACTTGTGGTAGGATGGAGTGGCGTGTATATGGAGCGTTGACGGGACGTGGCGATACACATCGTTAGAAGCAGTGACGATGAGTAACGTTATTGTACGAAAAAGGTGACAAAAGCGACTTAAAATTTATCGTCCTATAACATTACACTCCTTATGCTTTTTCTTCTTCTATGTTTTTATTAATCAATTCTACCCGTTTTATGTTTTCTTTAAACGTGCCTTCATGTTATATTGCCTCTTTATCTTTTCTGTCGTATATTCTGCTTATATGCTCCTTCTATTCTCTCTTCGTATTCAGTATGAATCACCTGTCTTTTGCACACCTTGCATGCTGTTCTGATTTCAAAGCTTCTCTTTTTTTGTTCCGTCAGTGTATTTTCCGTGATTCTTCGAGAAAATATGGAAATATAAGCAATTTTCCTTTTTTATTGACGGGTTGTTGCTTCTATGGAAGATTTTCACTCCATTTCTTGCAAGGTCGGCCTTCACTAGTGAATTATCTCTTCCTATTTTAACGACTCTTGAACCTGCCATTTTACTGATGTGATCGTTTCATTATTTTTTCTTTTTAGTATCCACTCTTTTATATCCTGTACATTACATTTTATTCTGGTTTCGTCACTCCTTATTCAGTCTCTCAGCGTGTTTTTAATTCTTCTGAGTATTCTCATTTTTGTCGTTAGCAGCACTCTCCGTGTTTTGGCTATTTCGGGTGTTGCTTCTGATGCGTACGTCATTATTGATCTTATACTGGCCTTATAGATTGTTGATTTTATACAACAGCTAATGTGTCGTTTATGCCATATAGTGTTATCATAAGATATGCTGCTTACTTTACTTTATCGTGTCCGGACATGTCATTCATAAAATTTCGGCCCAGTATCGGGCTACGTCGGTTCCATCTTTGTTGGCGAGCCACAAATCTTCAAGGGTACATCGATGAGCACAGTTTCTGCATGTAAGAAGATGTTCAATATTCTGTGTTTCTCCACAGTCACAGTTCACATCATCTTGGTCTATATTTTCCCATTTTGCCATGTTTGATTTTACTGTAGCAACCCCCGTTCTTATCCTATTCAAGGTTTTCCACGTTTTAAAGTCTAGGGTCTGGCCGGTCCATTGAACCTGGGGAAGAGGAAAATAGTCAGGCGGTTCATCCTGCACTGTTCCAAGGAAGCTTTTCCAAGATTTTAGTCGCTTTCGTGGTGTTCGAGTTTTGTATAGGGCATGCCGATCGTCCGCGATCTGTTTAATTTTCTCTATGTGTTCTGCAGCGCCTCTGCATGTTGAGGGTTCTGCAAAACTCGCTGCTCTATATAGATTTGAAAGTGGCGTTGGTTTCATGCACCCCGTTACTATCTTGCATGTCTCATTTAGCGCAGTATCAACTTGTTTGATGTGGGTAGATCTGCTCCAAACGGGGCACGCATATTCAGCAGTTGAGAAACACAGTGCCTGTGCCGTTGTTCTTAAAACGCCAGGACGTGCGCCCCATTTACTTCCCGTTAGCTTTCTGAGTATGCTGTTCCTAGTTGTTACTTTCCCTCTTGTTTTTATGCAATGTTGTCTGTAGGTGAGGGACCGGTCCAGAGTTACTCCAAGATATATAGGTTGGGTTGTGTGTTCTAATGCATTACCATTCCACACAATTTGGAGTTTTCGCCTGGCTTCCTTTGTGCGAAGGTGGAAAGCGCAGACTTGGGTTTTAGAGGGATTGGGTCTCAGAGAATTCTGCAGGTAGTACGCTGGCATTGTTTTTAAGGCAGTTTCGAGTTTCTCCTCCACTTCTTCAAAACTATTTCCTTGAGCACATATTGTAAGATCGTCAGCATAGAGGAAGTGCTTGGTTTTGGTCGGAGTAGGTTGGTCGTTTGTGTATATATTGAAGAGCATTGGTGCTAAAACACTTCCCTGTGGGAGGCCATTTTTTTTAACTCTCCATCTACTTACTTTACCCTCCAGCATAACGAAAAAACATCTATTTTGCAGTAAGGAATATACGACCTTTCCCAGATGGTGGTCATTGAGAGTGTCGTATAATTTGCGGAGCAATGTTTTGTGCCTTACTGTGTCATAGGCTGCTGTCAGATCTACAAAAGCAGCCCTTGTTATAAGTTTTTCTTTAAAGTCCTCTTCAATGTGTTCTGTTAATGGGAGGACTTGACCGGTGCAAGATTTACCAGGTCTGAATCCTCCTTGTTGTGGGATGAGGTGCTTGTCGACATTTTTTTCTATTCTGGCGAGTATCAGTCTCTCGTATAGTTTAAAAAAGTGACACAATAGCGAAATAGGTCTGTAGCTACTGGGGTCTTCTGTATCCTTTCCTGGTTTTAACAAGGCTATTACTTTAGATTTCCTCCATGATTTTGGAATTTTTCAGGTTTTACAGCACGTGTTATAAAATTGCAAGATCCAGTTTTTTGCTCCTTGTCCTAAATGCTTTATTTGTTCACTGCATATATCATCCACACCTGCAGCTTTCCCGTTTTTTAACCTGTTCAGACCGTCGCGTGGAGTTCTTTTAGTGTAAAAGGAGTTCCTAGGTGGTTTATCTCCGAATCCAATCTTCTCCTAGTGTTTGGGTCTTTATATCGGTTAGTAGTTCTTCCATTCGTAAGGAGTTGAGTAGCGACTTGGTTTGCTGGGTGGTTTATGTTCTTTTGGATCACTGCTGAGTTTTTTTACAAGGTTCCATGCTATTTTGCTACTATGTGTCATGTCCATTTTTTCCAGAGTCTCAATCCACTTTTCCTGTCTGGTTTGACTTAGCTGTTGGAGTAGTACTGCTCCGCAGTCAACGGTTTCTTGGCTAAAAGGGTCAGTGGAATAAAGGTTTTCGTATGTTCTCATTAGTTCTTTGGACTCGCTGGACATCCCGGGAACATATTGTTGTCTACATCCTCTAGGGATAGTTTTTCTAGACACATTTTTGAGTACCTCTACGAATTTTTCGTAGTTCTCTACTTTTGGTTCAAGGCGTAGTAGTTCAAAATCTAGCATGTCTGCATACTTTTGCCAGTTTGCCTTTTTGAAGTTAAATCTCCTTCTGAATGGAATAGCTTGTGGTCTGACAATTGGGAAGATATTTATACCAATTGGTCTATGCTGAGTTTTTGGTATGGGGCCATATACTACTTTGGTACATCGGTCTTCGAGGTTGTTGCTTGAAAAACAGATATCCGGGTTATATCCTCTTTTCCAAACTTTGCTATGAAAAGATGGTGGAAGTTTAGGATCATGGATTAACGTGAGGCCACTCGTTTCGGCCCATACTTCTACTGCGTCTCCATTTGCGTCCGAATCTGCATAGCCGCAGAGTAAACTGTGACTGTTAAAGTCTCCCAGTACAAGCTGATTGGCTTGTGATTGAAAATTAGTTGGGGGTGAAAATATAAAAGGTTGGTTTGGGGGCTTGTATACCGAGGTTATTGTGCATTTTCCGATCTCAGTGGTTATTATCTCTATACCGTGTACATTTTTTGTTTCCACAGATGAGACTATGTTTTGAGTTCTCACAAATACCGCGCTCCCATGCTTATTGTGTGGTATCTCCGCAATCAGTTTTATACCAGAGACTTTTGGTCTCGCTGCAGTTAGGTCTCTGTGGGTTTCCTGGATGCACAATACCTCACATTTCGTGTTCTTGCAGAATTCTGATAAGATGTCTTGTTTGGCTGTAGTGATGCCCTCGATATTTATGCTCGCTGTCAGTGTTGGCTCTGAGAAGAACCGTTGTGGCTTGATCTTTGCTATCGGATTTGGTTTGGTCCGGTGTTGGACCAAATCAGACATGCTGCTGACATGCTGCTGATCTATTTGCTTTTTGCACTTTGGTTCTTTACTCTTTACAATTGTTCTAGTTTTCTGAGTTAAAATCATTATGTTAAATCTTTCTTTTGCTCTTGTATTCAATCTATGAACTAGTCTTTGATGGCTATCTTTATTTAAACTAAAAAATATCTATTTGAACTTTCAGTAGCGTTCTATATATTATAAAAGTTGTTCTTTATTTTAAACGAAATATAACATAAAAAGTTAAACATAGCAAAGTTATTTCTACATAATATATTTAAATCGATATGTTTCTTCGAAACATCAACTTCCATAGGAGAGTACTAATTTTAGTTATTTTTTTATGTGCAAAATCATTTGGATATCAAATTTTTCATTTTTATTACCCTTTTTACCATTATCATTTTTTTATTACGTTTTTATCCCACTTTTTATCGAACTAAATACTTGTAACGGTAACATCCCAATATCTATTTGTGCGTTAACAATCAAGTCAAGTCTTTACTAATGGAGTTACTACCTTAACTCCATAGGTAGACCGTAAAAATCGAACTGACTCTAGAACCAGATTCCTGACTCGTATCTTTTAACCGATAAAAACTTTCTGATCTAGATCTTTAAAAAAAAAATTGCATTGCTTGAAAATCATAAAAAATATGGTAAAAAAAGAGCATTAGGATAAATGAGACTATGTCTTACTCAAAATGAAGGAAAAAAGATAACATTTATAATCAAATATGTTTTTTGTGTAACATTTTTATTTTATACAATATTTTTTTAAGGTACCAGAAAATCGACCACGACCTGAGGGTCTTTCAAAAAACGAACCCTTACCAAGTTCTGATAAACTGATCAACGACGACAATTTCCACAAATACGAATACGACTGCAAGTTGCGACCAGCAGACAGACTAACAGAGAATATTCTCTCTAAAAGACACTATGACGATGATACTCCCAAGAACGAGTACAATAATATTAATCATAACTTTAAATCGCTTAGTTATTACGACGATAACGTTCTACCTTGTAAGTATTTAAAGTTAAGAGTTGTGTTAGTTTTCCTACAACTTTCGTGACAGCTCTTTAATGATATTTTTTTATTTTTATTGATTTACAAGCTATTGCATTTCTTTTAAAGTTAGTCCTCATTTTCTTATATCTTCACAACCATCCATGTGGGGTTTCGTCTTATAAACTATAATTCTCCATTTTCCTATTTTCTATTACTTTATTCCAGTTCTCTATGCTTAAATCTTTGTGTCTTCTTCTACTTGGTACTTCCCTTTACTTCGTGGTCTTCCACTATTTCTTTCTCTCTCTCTCTCTCTCTCTCTCTCTCTCTCTCTCTCTCTCTCTCTCTCTCTCTTACATATACGCCCATACCATCTCATTTCAATCGATTTAATAAATTTTATTCTAGTTAATATTTCCATTATTTTGTCAATTTCGTTTTTCATTAACTTTCTACATTCGTTATCGTTTTTTGTTCCGTTGTCGTTCTTACAGGTATTAATTATTTCTAGAATTTTAAGCAGATCTCCTTCCTCTTTGCCTATGTCGTTTTTTTAGTTTGTTTTTCTTAGTGTTTGTGTTTACGTTTTTTCTTTTAATACGTTAATGTTTTAATAAAGATAATAAAGAAGAGGATATAGAATGGGAGAAAAGGAAATAAGGATAATATGCTACGCCGACGACGCCATAACAGCCGAAAATGAAGATGACCTACAAAGATGAATTAAAGAATTCGAAGATACGGCGCTCATATGCAACATGGTGATCTCAACAGAGAAAACTAAAGCGATAGTGATATCAGCAGAACCGAGACGATGTAAACTAGTCGTAAGTAACAAAATAATAGAACAAGTGATGGAAACTGGATACTTGGGAATAAAACTATGAAGCTACGGAAAAGTGGAAGAAGAAGTACAAAAACAAGTGAACATGGCAAACAGAGCAGCAGGATGTCTCAACAACACAATCTGGAGAAACAAATACCTCACAACGGAAACGAAAACCAGGATATATAAATCAACAATAAGACCGATAATGATGTACACAGCGGAAACAAAAGCAAATACTGCGAAAACACAAAGACTGCTGGAAACAACAAAAATTAAAGTCTTACGAAAAATAACAAACCAAACTTTAAGAGACAGAGTAAGAAGTGAGGAAATACGAGCGAGATGTGGTATAGAGGAAATAAACGCGTGGACCAAAAGAAGAAAAGCGGAATGGAATCAACACATCGAAAGGATGACAGAAAATAGAATAATACGAATAGCAAGAGACAAATCGCCAAATGGAAGAAGATCAATGGGACGACTGAGGAAAAGATATTCAGAGGCTAAAAACAAAAGTAAAACAGGCATTACGCCTATTTATAAAGTAGGAAGAAAAAGAAGAAGAATATTTTGATACGTCCAGCCTTTTAGTTTGATGTATTTGAATATTTGCAATTTCTTCTCTGCATATGTTATCTGTAAGTCGGATGGTAGCGATGATACTTCAACGCATTACAACTTACTCGGTTTTTTATAGTTCCAATTATGTTATTACATTTAGGTACAGAATTTGTATTATTAGGTATTAGGTACAGAAAAATTGCGTTTCAACCTCTCTCGTCAGTTAAATAACATACATCCATTTTATACAATGTGTGCAGAGTTGAGGCAAAATTGAGCCTTCGTGGGTTATTACTGCTTCTAACGTCCATTACCAACCTTGAATCATTAAATCATTCAACACACAAATAAAAACAATTACTTCTGCTGATGACGAGCTGAAAATTAAAAAAATTCTGAAACTGAGCTACAAAAAACATTTAAAAACTTAATACGCAGAGAAAAGCAGACTTAAGACAAGGGCTGAATACCTACTCAATCAATGAGACAATAGAATAATACTGCAGAATCTAAAAAAAATGCTGGATATGCACATTAGGGATGATGTATTGACTAAAAATCCATTACATTAAGAATAATATGCGTATAGAGTAGGATCTACTGAAATGGTGGAATCCTCTACATTTCCAATATAAGGGAAGCATTCTACAATACTTCCTCCAAGGCAAGTGTGATGTTTGTGCTATAGGTGGCTATAGTGATTTAACCATCGTGCAGCAGGTAGAACGAGACATCCCGTATTTTGTTGGTCTCCCTATCCTTGTTGGTCATGTCACATGTGTAGAACAGTGTGTCGAGCATGTGTAGAATAACTTAAATGAACATATTATTTTTTATGACAAAGTACTTTTTTAAAACTATCCCTATTCTCGCTACAATGAATACTTGTGCATCCTTCACACAAGCACAAGAGCCATTCGGCTGAATGGATGCGGTAAAAAACAAGCTGTAGGTGGATTATCATCATCATCAACAACATGTATGCGTCCACTGCTGGACATGTCCTTCAGCTCTTTCCATCTGTCTCTGCCTTGTGTGTCTTACATCTAGTTATTGCTAACAGGCTTCAGGTCGTCAGTCCATATAGTTAGTGGACGGCCTCTGCTCTGTATTGCTTCTTGCCTTGGTCTCCACTCTAAAATACATTTTGTCCATCGGTTGTCTGATAATCTGGTGACGTGTCCTGCCCAATTCCATTTTAACGACGCGATTTTTTCGATAGCGTCTGTTGTTTTTGTTCTACGACGTATTTCTTCGTTTGGGATTCGGTCTCTCAGAGAAACACCCATCATCTGGCGATCTAAGTCATGCGAGTCTTATTGACTATTTTTTTTATGAGTGTTAATGTTTCCGCTCCATAAGTGAGTACAGGTAACACATATTGTTCAAAGATTTTCCTTTTGAGGCATATGGGTAGATACAATTTAAATACATAGTTTAATTTACCAAACGCTGCCCAAGTTCCAAGTCTTATGCGACGTGGGAGCTCACATGTCTAATTATCTCTGCCCAACCGAATTTCATGTCCTATGTAGGTGGATAGTAGTGTGATATTTACAACGTTACTGGAGGATATACTGGATATACTAAGACAGATAGTCAGATCTGAAATCTAGTAAATTAGGAATCTAGAATGTTTAGGTCGTCGAAACCCACGAGGAGGTATAAGGCTGTTTTATGGAAACAAGCTTTAGACTGTGTAGCAGAAAATTTGAAACTGTCAACCTTATTTTGCATGACTATAAAGCAGTACCAAGTGACTCCAAAAACATATAATACCCATCTATAAGATCTGTATAATCAGGTACAAGGTTCCAGACTTCTGAATGAATAAATGGAAGATGTAGTTAACACCCTAAATGTCATATTGAGCAGATATGCCTCTATAATTAATGCAGTCTAAATGATTATAGGACTTTTTTTTCACACCCGTTCTGTATTGGGACATAGACGTTAATTATTGATTAATATCGGCGTGCTAGATAATCTTTGCTCTTATTTTTAATTTTCCATTTACCATAACTGATATTCTTCTGTGTACCAGCTTTTCATCTCTACCTTACCGTATTTAATATTAACTTCTATGTATACTTTCTCCAGTTCCTCATTTACTATATTTCTATTGTAAAATAAATTTGATACTTTTATACTTGTCTTGCTACTTCTTATATTTTTAGGAGCTTTAATGACGTTCTCACATTGCGTGTTTCTATTCTACTAGTAGTGTTCTTTTTCATTGTTATGATACCTTTCTGTATTTCAAAACGTTCCATTGATTGGTTTAATGTCGCCCATATTATTATGGCCTTCTTTTACATTATCCTCAATTAGTTTCTTGAAAAATGTTTAGATCTTTTATTTTCTCACATTTTTATTTTTGTGATTCTATCTCTATTTTTAATGACAAATATATGGTCGTGGTGTAGAATTGTCTGTTTCTGATGTTTCACCTGCATTTTCGATCAATATTATGAAAGGCGATACAGCAGCGGATGTAAGAACCTTACACTGTCACTTATTGAGTTAATACGTTATTCCTTCCGCTGCCACATAACCTTGGACAATGTCTGCCACAGTTGCAGACGAAACGATGGAAACAAAAAATTAGAGTTAAATCAATATTTATTGTCCGAATGGCTCATTCTGTTTAGTTTGAGAGTGAAGTAAGTCAATTGTTCATTCACTGGCTACTGGGAGCAGCGCATCATTGTCATCGTACACTAAACTGCCAATGTGTTTAGAATGAGAGTGGTGTAAGTCAGATGATGAATTTGTTTACATGCAAAGTTATATTGCTAAGTGATCAGTGAGTGTTATTTTGTGTTATATGTATTATTACATATTATTGGTGGTATATAAACAAACATGTTTGATATTCTGTCACAGTAATTTGTTTTTAAATTGAAGAAAATCTTGTTTTATAATTGAAATGTGAGAAAAATATCCTTGTTGACATTCATGTCATAAGAAAAGCATTGCTAAGAAACAGAGGAATTCTGGTGAGAGGTATGTGAATGTAAATGGTCAAGTAATAGCAAATAAAACATTTTCAGACACCCCATGTCATTGTAAAATGGAGTGTCATGAGAAGATACCAACTGAAGAAAGACAATCTATGTTGGATCTAAGTATTTATGGGAACTAGGGTATTTTAAACGGCAAAATACTTATATTTGCGGACTTATTCAAAGAACTTAAATCAAGCAAAGAAGGCCCCGTAAAGGGGGTGGTATTTTAAGGGGTGGGACAAACAAATACTACTTAAAAACAAATCAAGGTATATCAGTTGCAGTGTGCAAAAAGTATTTTCTCACTACTTTTTGCGTGTCAGATGGTCGTGTTAGACGAGCTCTAAAAAAACTATGTGAAGGTAAATTACCTGGCGAAGACCTCCGAGGTATAAAAGGATGCCCAGCAAGGAAAATCCCTGAGGACGATATAGAATATGTCTGCAAACATATCAAGACATTTCCCTCTTGCCGGAATCACTATACCAGGAAGAAAAATGAACACCGAAGGTACCTTAGTGATAATTTAAATATTAGAAAAATGTATTCATTGTACGAGAAAAAGTGTTAGGAAGAGCAGAAATCACCGTTTAAGGAGCATTTTTATCGATATATTTTCAACACTAAATTTAACCTTCACTTCTATATTCCAAAAAAGACACTTACAAAAAATGTGACATATTCAAAATAGAAATAAGCAATCCTGAATTGAGTAGGGATAAATTATCTCAACTTAACACTGGCCATGAACTCCATTTACGGAAAGCTGAGCTAGCAAGGGAATGTATAACTACTGATGCAAAAAACGCGAAAAGAAACCAGAACAGTTATGTATGTAGTGTTGACCTACAGAAAGCTTTGCTGTTTCCAGTGTTATCGGTTTCAGATGCCTATTATAAGCGAAATGTGTACTGCTATAACTTTGAAGTGCATGACTTCGATACAGAAGCTAGCGTATTTTATTTTTGGAATGAAACTATCGCTTCCAGAGGCTCTCAAGAAGTTTCATCCTGTATTATAAAGCATCTTAAACTAAATGCTCCAAACAAGAAACATGTTATAATTTACAGCGATACTTGTACTGGTCAAAATCGAAACATTAAAATGGCTTTAGCACTAACAAGGTTTCTACAAAGCGATGCAACAAACATCGAAGTAATCGATCAGAAGTTTTTAGTTTCTGGACATTTATTCCTACCGAATGATTCGGATTTTGGTTCTGTAGAACTAGCTGCAAAGGGAAAGGCAATCTATCTACCAAGTGACTGGATAGAAATCATGACTACCTGCCGGAGAAAAAAAAATTTATTGTTTGTGAGATGAGTAATGATGAATTCTTTTCAACAAGCACACTGGAAAGAAACATTGCAAATAGGAAAAAAATTCAAGAAAAATGTGAGTAAACTGACTAAAAATCCAGTGGATAAAGTATGAAAAGTCTAAACCCTACAACATTCAGTATAAAGAGACAATTCAAGACATGGTACAGTTCGACACCATAGATATCACTCCAACAGGATGAAAGGGAATTCCAGTACAGTTGAAAAATGTTCTCATGCAAAAACTCCACTCAAGAATGAGACCTGTAAGCGAGCAGAAGAAACAGGATATGATCGATCTCCTACAGTTCATTCCTTCAGTCCATCATGGGTTTTTTCAAAGCATAGCAACTGCTGCAAATAACGAAGAAGAGGAGGAGATTGACCCACTTCCGTATGTTGAACCTCAAAGCGATGAGGAAGATGAATCTGTAGACTAAAAAAGACTCGAGTGGATCGTAGAATGGATCACTTTTTAAGTAAAGATATTTTAGAAATACTTAATCTATTGACAAAGTGTAAGAGTAAATTTTTTAAACCGTTTCTGTAAACTGTATTAACTTGTAAAAGTCAATTTTTAACCAATAAAGTTTAATCATCAACAAAGTAAGTCAGTTATTTTATTCAATTCCTATTTGTGTTTAGGATGGTAGTGGTTTAAGTCATTTAAGCCCTTTTTATGGTAAACACTAGGTATATCAAACCTATATCAATAAAAAAAGTAACAATTTGTGATAACAAAAAGGCAATTTTTTTTTGCTTTAAACTATAACGGGATTTTTTTGTACAGCGTCTAACAACACTTAAAAATCTCAAATTGATTAAAAACTGACTTACACCACTCTGATTCTCACCATCTCATATATAGTAGCAAAAATTATTTGCTTGTCTCAAACCAGCTTGGACTCATAAGTAAAAGACAAAGTCTTTAAAGCATCTTTGCTGCTAAATTAATATAAAATTTTGTTTTATGGATATTTCTGTTAAACCATGCCTTAGAACTAACGTCTATAGCGTATGGTCTGTTTATTCTCCTTGTATAAAATATAGTTGGGTTGCCCAACTAAAGCCAAATTCTGGTCTACTTTCAGCAACCACCCAGTGGTTTTTGAAAATAACTTCAATTGACATGTGAAAGTAGACATTGTATTTGTTGGTTGGTTCAATTATTCCAATAAAACTTTCCTCAGGATCCTTAAGTGATCAACTAAGGCACCGGATTTAATTTTTTTTATCTGGTGGAGTCTCAAGGCATTCAATTGCTGCCTCCTTCAACATGTAATATTATAATTTCTAGAGCGACTGTAGGACATATTGGCCATCCCCTGTAATTCTGTGATACTTCTTCTTATGGTGCCTTTCCAATTAGTGGATGTTGGCGACAATTCTACCATACTCCTCTCGATCTTGTGAATAATAAAAGTAAAAAAACTTGCCGCATGTTCAGTTATCCATTAAGTTTCTAATTCAAGGTAACTGTCCCAAATCAGTTATGTTCATATAACTATTAACTCGTAATATCTCACAACTAAAATATGATTCCTAATTATTGTAATAATATTAGAATTAGCGTATAGGTAGATATGAGCATACAGTTGCTCCTTCGTTTAGAGCTAAGGTCTATTCATTTTTCGAATCATGCTTTACTGTGATACAGATTGCCAGCTATCTCTTCACCTTTAGGGGAATTTGTCTAATCCTCAACAGCTAATGGATTGTACTACTCACACAAACCTATTCCTCCTCAACCTGTATTCGTCGTTCCTTACTCCCTCAATAAGAATCTTCTCAGCCATCATCTTAGCCAATCATAAATAATGTACTTTTTGTTTCGATTCATATCAGCTCTGGTTTAGTTACCTTACGTGAGTATAAGTCTTACACGTTTTTATATTTTCACCTTACGCTCTGTTATCATATATTAATTTTTCACAGAAATCCGGCATATCTACAGCTTTTTTACCTGATTCCTTCGCTTACGGAATCATGCCTGCTATAGGTGTGCGCTCCCAAGGTTTTTGAACTGAATCACTTATTCAAGATTTATACCATTTCATACATAATTACGTGGATGTTATTATACTCTGTATATTTTACTTTTTAATGTAGGCCGATTACAGTGTTAATTTTATTTTCAGTGACAAAAGACTCCACTGAACCCATTCCGTTAAAATACGAAGAACCGTATCTTTTTCCAAGAAAATATTCCTCAAAGGACTCTTCGGAAACTTGCAAGTGCTTTCTATGTGGAAAGTATCTCAGTAACCAATACAATCTTCGCGTTCACATGGAAACACACGAAGAAGCCTATCACGCATGTCAGTCATGCCCGCACGTATCAAGGAGTCGAGATGCCTTACGTAAGCACGTTTCCTACAGACATCCAGAAGAGTACCATAACAGAAAGCGAAGGAAGACGGATACCTGATAATAAATTTAGAGTAATAAAAATTAATTTAAGCAATACTCGTTTTTTAATATGAATTGATGGTACAAATTTTATTCATCGACATTACCACCACTTTCCTGTTGAATTCTCTCAGATAATGTCAATACCAGATATATGTTAATAACTTTTAATATGTGCTCATATATCTCTTTAGGTTTTATAGTTCTGTTCAAAATCTCGACTTCAACCTGGGCATAGCTTAATACATTTGCTATAGTGTGGGCATGAACATTACAATGCATTAAAATAAAATTATATCCAATCTATGGGGCGAAAGACACCCCAACAAAATATGCATATTGCATATTTTGCATATTGTGCATATTTTATGCAAATATTTCATATTTTGGTATTTTTGTATAAAAGTTTGCATAAAGTGCATAAAAGTTCAGATTTTTATACTGTATTTGAAAACTTTTAAACATACCAATTTATTTCAATTCTTGTATAAAATTTTGTAGTCATTTTAATCAAGAAATGATCTAAGTAAGTAATCTCTACAGGTACAAAACATTTACAATTTCAAAGAAGATCAATTTAAGTAGCCCTCAACATTCTTAGAAAGTCTCGGTCACTGAGGCATTCAGTTATTGGATAATCGCTAAGGGTTCGCTCATTTGCATTTTATGATCTAATCCCCAAATCTATCTACAATTTATTGTATCTTAACAGCAGGTAAACGGCTAATAGTTTTGTTCCTAATTTAGGGATTTTCCAAAATCTCCCAGTTTATTGAATTAGGTACCTAAACATTTCTAATTTGATGCTCAGATTTGTAAATCATTTTTGTTTTGATATTCAAAGCGTAAACACTCGTTGTGCGTAACAAAAAGGAAGATTGTGATTTTATAATGCCTAAAACAACCAGTGCTTCAACTTGGATTAAACCTTATAAAGAGCTGTCTATGGATATGGGAAAAATCTACTGTTCAGTCTGTGGCAAAATTGTAAGTATCTAATATTTTCTATTAAATATCTAATATTTCATACATACAGGGTGTTTCCAAATTACACTTACAACGTTTGACTGTAGATACTTCTCGAAAAATTGAACAAAACGATATAGTTAATGAGGGGTCAAACTTATTTACTTTTCGAGATACAGGGTGTTACAATTAAAAAAAAATTAAATTCTTTTAGTTAATAACAACAATAACTTTAAAACCAATAAACGTATTTACTTGAAATTTAGTACTCGTAGGTTGTTTTTAAATGAAAAATAGCTTCCTTTAGTGAGAAAAAATTGTCCATGGTACAATACAATGGTGTGTATTTAGAAAAAATTTTCACCTTTACTTTTTTTTATGAAGTCAGCTATTCTAAAACACAATTATTTTTATTGTAATTGAATTAACAAAAAAAAAACTTTTGTTGAATTTTAAAATAAGTTATATGATGTACTAATGGTTAGTAACAAAAACTCTTTTGTGGATTAATACTGCATTTAAAACACTTAGCGAGTGTTTTTTTTTTCCAAACCAGTTATTTGATTAACCAAAAACACCTTGTATATTTTTATATTTTAAAGGTTGGGTTAAAATAAAGGTTTTTATTTTCATTTATAGATAGCATGTGAGAAGAAATTTCAGATAGACCAACATGTGAGAACTGCTTCACACATTGCAAAAAAAGGAAAAATAGGAGGAAAACATCAAACTTCAATGGCTAAATGTTTCCAATCTACTTCAAAAAAATTAGATGAGCAAGAAACTTTTAATGAAGACTTGTGTCGCGCATTAGTGTCTGTAAACATACCGCTTTCAAAATTAGCAAATGTAAATTTTAGTTCGTTTCTAAAAAAATATTGCAAACTTAATGTTCCAAGTGATCGGTCTCTAATGCCGGGTCCAGACCAAGCAGACAAAACGAAAACACAATTCTGAAACAAAAACACGATAAACCGGCGACAAAATTTGTCGTCAAAAGACAAAACAAAATTGAGACAAACTGTCCACACCAGAACAACAAAATATAAAAACAAAATTCAGTTGGTGACGTTGTTGTTGTGATTAGTGTTGGTTAACCATGGGGCGTTTTAATCAAGAAAAAAATGAAACTGAAGATTTATTGCTAGCCGCAAGTTGTTTTTTTTTTGCTCTCATCATCATCCCAGGTTGCTAAACGAAAACCCAAACGTTTTTGGATTAGACCAAGCCTAAAAATGCGACATAACCAAACCATTTTGAACTGAAAAGTTTCCCAGCCCCAGATTTTTTAAGTTTCTTGTAGTTTCGTCTTTCTCTAGCATACTGGTTGTTAACATTCTTTATTTTCTTTTCAACATCATTTAGTGGCACATTTAGCGATAAAGAAATTTTCTTTAATGCATCGGCTTTCTTGTAGCGATTTTTATAATCTTTATTTTTAGGGTCCCATAATATCGGATGCTCCTTGTAAAGTTCTATTAACTTGCATGTATTTTGTGTATTCCACTTTTTGTCCCCCGACATGTTTAGAAAAATACACTAGTATTTATTTAATCACTACACAACAGAAAAATACACTTGATTTTGATAAAAATTGTACATTCTATTTCTCCTACTGCTTAACTCGTTTTGGCACGCACACGCGTCCACACTGCGTCGACAACTTGTCGTCAAAAACACAGACAAAACACAGACCTTTTGATCTTTACCGACCTGAGACGGGACCTGAAAAAGTTTTCAAATCTGCAAACAAAACAAAATTGTTTCAGAAATGTCTCAACAAATGTTTTCGATTTGTCGCCACTTTGTCGCGAAACATGAATGTTTTTGTTTTGTCTGCTTGGTCTGGACCCGGCATAAGAAGAAATAATGTGAACGGGCTATACTCGTCGGTGTTAATTAATATTAAGGAAAAAATTGCAGATAATTATTTTTACATATCTGTAGACGAAACCACTGATTCCTCAGGAAAGTATATTGCTCATTTATTGATTGGTGTTCTTAAAGAAGATACCTTACCAAAATCTCATCTTATTTCATGCCAACAACTTGAGAAAACAAATGATTTAACAATTTCGCGTTTTATACAAGAAACATTAGCCACTTTTTTTCTTCCGACAACTATTCCTTCTAATAAATTACTGCTTATTTTATCGGATGCTGCTCCTTATATGGTGAAAGCAGGACAAAATTTAAAAATATTTTTCCAAGATTTAATACATGTTACTTGTGTAGCGCATGGATTAAACAGAGTTGCAGAGGAAATATGAAAAAAGTTTGCTCTTGTAAATACCATGATATCCAGTGTCAAAAAAGTATTTCTTAAATCTCCTATAAGAATTCAACTTTATAAAGAAATGCTACCTAACATTCCTCTTCCACCACAACCTATTTTAACGCGATGGGGAACATGGTTAGAAGCAGCTAATTTTTATGCAGATCATTTTGTTAAAATAAAGAACATAATTGATACGTTAACAGATGAAAGTTCCCAATCTCTTTTGGATTCTAAACAAACTTTTCAGAGTAACTTGCTTCAACAAGAACTTTCATTTATAAAATCAAATTTTAGTTTTGTTCAAAAAACAATTACTCAGTTAGAATCACCAAAACTGTCATTGTTCGAAAGTACAGCATTAATAAAAGAATTTGCGTCATGTTGTCGGAACGTTAGAGGTAATATTTGAAAAGATATTTTAAAAAAATTTGAAGCTACCATGGAAAAAAATAAAGGTTACCATATTCTTTCTGAAGTAGTCAGTGTTCTAGCTGGAAATATTTCGGAAACAATTAATTTAGAACCAAATGTTTTGGTTAGTTTGAAAAATGCTCCCGTTACATCAGTTGATGTTGAACGAAGTTTTTCCATATATAAATATATGTACTCAGACAGAAGCCACAAGTTTTTGTTAGAAAATTTTGAACACCACTTGGTCATGTATTGTTACCATAATTCTAAATAAGTTTATTCATACTTAAAAATGATGTAGTTACTTAAAATAAATGTAAATCTTAATGAATAGTAGGAAATATTTAGTTATGTACACTTTTTTTTTTTTAATAAAATTGTTACTATTTTACGATTTTTTTATTTATTTGTATGCATATTTTGTAAAATATTTGCATATTTTCGGGTAAACACGTGCATATTTTCTACATTTTTATTTGCATATTTGCCGAAATATATATATATATATATATATATATATATATATATATATATATATTTCGGCTGTAAAAAATGCTTCAAGGTAAATGCCTTATCAGAACGTTATTGTCCCCACCATAAGATTCTCTTGCACTAATCATAATAATCATAAACTGAGCCTATTTTTCTCCTGCTTTTCCCAATACTCTGACTCTTCCATCATCTGACCCCATTAGGTACTAGGGTGCCATATATGATACACTAAACAACGATCTTCTCATCGTGACTTACAGCACTTAAAGCGTGGCCTTCAGAACCTTAGTAGACGTTTTTAGGTCTGTTAGTATGTAGTTTAGTTGCAGGCGAAAGCAAAATACATTTGAAAATTATTTGTTGTTGTGATTGTATGAGAGTTCGTCTTTGTTTTGACTACGTATCAAAACGTGTTCTAATAAAAGGTAAGATATTATTTTACCAGAACATCTTAAAAATTTTATATTTGTAAAAATTTAGTTTATGTGGTAAGTTGATAACATTTATGCATATAAAAAAGGAGCATTAGATATACTCAGTGTTTATAAATTGTGTGTTTTTGTCCATATAACTTATATGGCACGCTAGTCTTTTAGGGTACGCAATTGTTAAATCTACAGAAATGTTTCAATCTTTTGTTACAGATTGACAGATTTTGATAATGAAACAGTTGATTGAGTTTATATAGAACTTCTGGAAAACCGAGAAGAAGAAGATGAAGATTTCAGAGATAAATCTGGTGGTGGACTAGACAATTTATCAGGCAAGCAACTGCAAGCTTCTGCAGGAATAGTATTCGATAGTGGAGAATGAATTGGTACTGAAGATTATAGAAATACTGAAGATATTACACAAAAAGACTTTAATGAAGGTAATACCATACTCAGTCTGGTAAAAATAAAAAAAAAAATAGTAAACTGGTGTAAAAATCGTGACTTACCCGAGATTACAAACCAAAACATATTTTTAATTTCAATCTTCTCGAAGTATGCAAATACTTCGTTCTTTTTCAAACCTGTTCAAGCTTTTTATTACTGATGATATCATACAGTTATTTTGTGTTGGGGCTATTCGATACGCTCAATCTGAAAATTGTTCAGACCTAAAAATTACAACTCAAGAAATGAAATGCTTTTTAGCAATTCTTATAGATTCTGGTTATGATAAAAAGCCATCAAAAGTTACTGGGATTCTGAAAATAATATGCGAAACACTGCCGTTTATAATTCCATGCACCGTGACAGATTTATTCAGATCATGAGATTCGTACATTGTACCAATAACACTCTTCTTGAACCCAACGATAAACTGACTAAACTCAGACTTCTTATAAATATAAGATAAAAACTAACTTTCTAAGACATTATATTCCGGATCTCCACAAGAAGGTAAAAGGGGCAACAGGCCTATGTACAAACCCAAGCGATCAGGACATATGAATGATGATCATGGCTACCTGGTAATAGACATTGAACACAAAGAATATATGGAAGAGATACGTTGAGAAGACATTCGATGACGACAGAGATAACAACCAGATAATTATGGAATACGACACAGGGCCACCAATCACTCAAGACGAAGTCAAAGCCGCAATTAAAGCAACCAAAGCAGGTAAAGGATCAGGGACCGACAACTTTTATTCAGAATTTCTAAAAATGATGGGAGACGAAGAAGTAAAATGGCTTAGGACAACGTTTAATAAAATCTATGGCTCGGGAAAAATCCTAGAGAGCTGGTTAAAATCTACATTTATTGCGATACCTAAAAAACCTAATGCAAACAAATGCGAAGAGATGAGAGAGAAGTATTATCAGTCTAATGAGCCATATTCTGAAGACCTTCTTAAAGATAATACACAGAAGAATCTATCAGAAATGCGAATCACAGATCTCACGAACGCAGTTTGGATTCAGCGATGCGTTAGGTACAAGAGAACCGCGAACCTTGTTCGCGGTTCAGGTATTATTTCAAAGCTGCAGAGATATCAACTGCGATATTTGTGTATGCTTTATCGACTACCAGAAAGCTTTCAACAGAATCAAGCACAATAAGCTCATGGATATACTAAAGGCAACTGATCTGGATAACAAAGACCTTCGAGTAATCAAGAACATATACTACAACCAATCAGCAACCATTCGGGTAAAAGAACAGCTAACAGAGAAAGCTGCAAAAAATAGAGGAGTACGACAGGGCTGCATACTCTCTTCCCTATTATTGAACGTCTATTCGGAACACGTCATGAGCCAGGCCTTAGAGCATATCGAAGAGGGTATTCCCATAAATGGTCAGCGCCTGAATAACATCAGGTATGCAGACGACACCAACCTCTTTGCAGGCAGTTTAGAAGGTTTACAAACACTAGTAACGCAATTGTGGAGAACCAGTCAAGAATACGAGCTTGATTTTAACATCAAGAAAACAAAGTACATGGTCATTAGTAAAAAGCATATTCCACCTAGTCAATTACTGGTAGATCAGCAACAAATACTCCAAGTGCCCCGTTACTACTATTTAGGAACCACCGTAAACGATCAATGGGACCACTCAGTTGAGATAAAACAAAGAATTGAAAAAGTCAGGTCACCGTTTGTCAGAATGAGCAAGATATTTAAGAGCCACGACCTACCCTTAAAAACAAAAATCCATTTATTGAGATGCTACGTGTTTACAGTGCTGCTCTATACTATACTCTACTCTATACAGACACTAACCGCGGCATCCATGTAAAACTCGAGGTGTTTGAGATATGGTGTTATAGACGGATACTGAGAATCTCCTGGGTGGACCGAATAACAAACATTGAGGTTCTACGTCGGATGGATAAAACATGTGAAATTATATTCACAGTGAAACAGCGCAAGCGAGAATATCTTGGACATATAATACGAAACGATCATAGTTATAACCTGCTGCAACTTATATTATAGGGAATGGTCTACGGAAAGAGGGGACCAGGAAGAAGAATATCTTGGCTCCAGAACTTACGAAAATGGTTTTCCTTGACCACTTCAGGACTATTTCGAGCTGCGGTCAATAAAGTTAGAATTGTCATGCTAGTAGCCAACATCCATAATGGATAGGCACCACAATAAGAAGATATTCCGGATCAAAAAATCGACTATGATGAAAGCATGATAGAATACTTTGGAAAACACGGATGTAAGCGGTATATTCGAGGGAAACCCATCCGGTTTAGATATAAAGTCTGGTGTCTCAATTCCAAAAACGCTAACCTAAATGCTTCTAATCGAGGGCTTAAAAAAAATTGGTGTACAACAGCTCCGTTACTGCAGCTTATTAAAGTGATGCACGAGGAAACAAGATCTTTGCCATACCATTTTTATTTTGATAATCTATTCACATCCATCAATATCCTTTATTTTTTTAAAGAGAATGGTTATGAAGCAACAGGGACAATTAGAGAAAATAGGCTAACACAGAACTGTCCACTTCGGACAGTAAAAGAGTTGAAAAAAAGACACCTAGAGGTACTTCTGACTATGTCGTAACCACAGATCAACAAGTAATGGTTACACACTGGATGAATAATTATGTAGTTACTGTAGCATTAACTGTTCATGGAGTTTCTCCAGTATTGAATGCAAGCTGCTACTAATCGACTAAAAAAAATTTGGTTTCCTAGAAATGATGTTGGCCTACCTTTACTTGGCTACTAGACACCATATTTCCAAAATTCGTGGATAATATACAGAAAACAATACCACAGAATAAATGACAATCAGAATGCCCACTCTCAGATGCCGCCTTTGAAGTTTGTCAGCACGCGAACGCCATGTCTTAGACGGAAACATAGACTCGAATTGAGAAATTTGTGAAAAGCTATAAAAGAACTGTAATTTTAATTTTTAGAGATTAATAATTTAGTACAATTGAAATAATTTAATCCATTCTACAACTAAAAGTACGAATAAAATAGTGCATATTATGTCTGTAGTTGCCGTAAATAAATTAAACCGGGTTAATCTGTCTATACACACCAGATAAAATGTCATTGAGCAGCACTGGTTCAGTTTAAAACATGGCTGATTCCGTCTGCGCGTACTTATTCTTTCAAGCAGAGTGGGCATTCTGATTGTTTATTATTCTGTGACATTACCCAGGTGTACTCCAATTAAATTTTCGAAGAGACATAGCACAAGTGTATTTAAAAAGGTTTCAAAATCTAGCTAGAGCTGCTGGACGACCATCCACATATTCACCTGGCAGCAAGATTGCTCTCGATATTAGACACGATGACAGTGATCACTATGTTGAATATGTCCCGAATAATGAAAGAAAACGTTTTGTTGGCAGTCTCGCACAATCGAGCGCTGTGAGCACACAATGCCGCAAATGCAATATAGGGTTGTGTATTGAGTGCTTACTGACTTTTACAAACAAAATTGAAGCTTTGTAAGCAATTTTCATAATTCTATAAAATTAACAATAAACAAAAATAAAGCAAAAATTAACAATAAACAAAAACAAAAAAAAATAAAATAAACAATAAAATAACAATCAATAAAAATGTCGGTCAGATAGCTCAGCGGGCTTGCGGCTGCCTCTCATTCGCTTCACTGTAGAATGGTTTAGTGGATATGGGTCGAGCCCAAGCTCGGTGTACAGAAAACAAATAGTCTAACGCAGCAGTTTAAAATTCTAGATGAATCTGCGGCTTAGACTAGGATATGCTGGGTTCTGATCGGCCTATGGTGGAGCAGTACGGCAAGAGATAAGGGCTTGCGGCTCGGTGATACTCCTCCATAGATCCCTACCGGACGGGCGTAACGCCTAAAAAACCGGATATATATATATATATATATATATATATATATATATATATATATATATATATATAACAATAAAAATACATATTTTCAAATATTTCTTTACTTTAGCAGTACTGTGTCATATATGGTACATGGTGTAATATTATTATTACCAGATGGGTATTTAAAATATTAGTTATGTACAATATTTTGACACTCCTATTATAGAAAAAATTAAAAACTACAGCAAATTCCAAAATTTTAACATTCAGTACTTAATGAGTTGAACAAAACTAACATTAATCCAAACGTCATCATTCCAGAAAATCAAACCGGGAAAAAAATGGACCGGAATGATCCGATTCCAGCCGCAGTTAGGCCAGTGGTTGCATATAAAAAATGAGTCATACCCACTGAAATCATTTTATTACTTTAGTCTTTTACGCCTTACCTTGTCATCTTATACCAGACAGTCTCCTGATACCGTTAAATAGTGCAAAAAATTGGAGTTTCGGAAACTCACAATGCTTGGGAAACTTCTTCAACAGAAAAAAATTGTTACACATATGAATTATATTTTTTTGTGTGCTTCCTTGATGGCTATTTATTTCTTATGGGAAGATATAACTTAGATTGGGTTTAATCAAGATATGCAATGCTTTAAAACTTTTATTGAAAATAAATTATATATAAAAATCTTTATAAATATACAGGTGTATATATAAACTTATGATTTTTCTTTATCTATTGGTGGCCACAGTAACTGAACCTCTGCATGTGCTGATTCTGGCAGCCATTTCATATATTCTGATAATAAATCTAAAATTAAATAAATTTAATATAATATGAATCATCATTTCAATAAATTTAGGGCGTATACCGGTTTGAAATTTATAAGAGGTGAGTTTATGTGTGTTCTTTCAACACAAGTAGAGAACGTTATCTTTTTAATACATGTATACGTATTCATTTTTGTTAATAAAGGTAAATAAATAAGAATTTGCCTGCTCGATTTATCAAATTCTACATTTCACATTTTATATTTGGATGGAACGACAGGGTCAAACATTATTTCCCGCTGAGACCAGTCCGCTAAATGTCTTTAACGGTGTGTTTTTTTTTTGTCCGTGATAATAAAATCTATTTCGTTTTGAGTTTTTCCATTAGGACTTTGCCATGTCCATTTTCTCTGTCGTTTCTTTTTGAAAAAACTGTTAATTTGAAAGAATCATGTTGCAGTATGAACCATAGCAGTATTACCTCGGCACGTTCATTTCTGTTTTGGCGTTAAATGGTCTATTGTTGGTGCTTAAACCTGTATTATTTTCATATTATACCTTGTATTCAATTTAAGAGTAAGACAAATCACTCTTGTGGAAAATTTCTTTGGTGATACTATACTTGTTTGGAGACGATTGTATATAATGAAGCCGGTTCCTCCCAAGGAATTATTGTCGTCACCTTCTTCTTAGGGTGTCTGTCCGTTTCGAACATTGGCGATCATTCTGGCTATGATGACTTTGTTGGCTGCTATACGAAATAGCTGTGTTGAGGTCTTTCTATACCATGCTCTCAGGTTAGCAAGCCAGGATATTCTTCTTCGTCCTGGGGCCCTTTTACCTTCAATTTTACCTTGTAAAATGCATTGAAGTAGCCCGTATCTGCCTCGATTTCTCATCACATGTTCCAAGTACTGCAGCTTACAGCCCTTCACGATGTTGACCAAATCCGCAGTTGTGTTCATCCTCCGCAGTACTTCCTCATTGGTGACTTTGTCTGTCCATGGTATCTTCAAGATCGTCGTCACCTACGTGGTAAAAACTATGTCCTGATTTTTGTTTAATTAAAGTGTTCGCCACATCTTCTCACTTCGCTGAGACCGACTATGTCCCACTTTATGTTTTCTAGTTCGCACTCATGTTCAAGTCTTTAATCGGATAGTAGGGAACGTGCATTATATGTTACTATATAAATTGTCGTCATATTCGGGTAACTTTTTCGTGTCTTTTTTCGTGTCTTTTCGAGTGTTTGTTTCAGCCGCACATTCTGGGTCCGACGCTGTTTGTGGCCACCCACTCTGAATCAAGGTCAATGCTGAGTATATCGCTTCGTGATCGAGTTAGAAATGAAGACTTAAGACGAAGAACGGGAGTTACCGATGTAATTTCCCGAATTGCCACACTGAAATGGAACTGGGCCGGACACGTCGCCCGAATCAGTGATGATGAAATGTGGGCGAAGAGATTGTTTGACTGGAGGCCGAGGTTAGACAAAAGACGCAAAGGGCTGGGTAATGATGATGTTGATGATAAATCATGAACTTTTGCATATTCCACATTAGTCCATATAAAATTATGTAGTAAAAAAAGTCGAATAATGCCGACAAACGCGAGGAGATTGTTGGCGTGACAGTCCCGCAGGAAGTAAATACACTAAGGTTCATTCATTCAGCAAATTCCCAACTATCAATAAAAGCACGTGTTGATATTCGCCTTCTCATTCGTCAAGAGGCTATTAAATATAATTTATTGCCTTAAGCCAGACATATTCTCATGTTACAGATTTAAACTTGCCGATGTGTTTAAATTTAAATTGTATCGTGTTGGTTTTTAAGTTAATATATTGTGTGTTATATTTATGTTACAGTTATTGTTAAGTTATTTACTGATCGTGTTATTTTTTCGAGTTTAGTTTAGTTGTGATTTAATGATTAAATATCAAGAAATTCTTACACTAATAGTTTCAAAAGTAAATATTTTTAAGAATCATATGATACACATCAGTACGGCCCTGTTTGCCTTTCACGTGCGTATGTTGACAATTGGAAATATGTAAAATGAATGTAGTTTAGCCTATAATTACTGTAACGAAAAGGAAGAAAAAACACTAAATAATACTTACAACTGGGCGTTGTACTCCACACAGCTATCACACTCTCCCTAGAACAGCATCCTTTACTTAATAAACATTTCAAAATAGCTTCGGTTCTGGGCTGTAGCTTAGACCAATTTTTGACCATAATATTTGGTTGGCTCAACAATATTTTAGAGTACTTCTGTAATTTGATAAACACTATACCCTCAAGAAAAAACTTGGCGAACCACTTGAAACAGTCAATAGATTCGGGATAAACGATTTCTATGTTAGGTAACTGCCAACCTTGTGATCCAAAAGAGCCAGTAACTGTACAGTATACTTTCCCTAAAACAAAGAAACAGCCTAATAATTTAATGTCTAATGTCTTAAGCTTCTTTACACATTATACCATTGATTGCTACATGTCTTTTTTTAGGTAACACATTTATATTGACTTTTCTAAGGATGTTTCGTTTTTCATATTGTTCTTTTTAGATGAACTGGTGATGCTTTCTGATTAGAGGGCGAAACAACCGGGATATATGGGGTGATGCATACAAAATCACAATGAAGACCTTAAAGTTGATGCCCCCATATAGACTCGACGAAAACCAGCGGATGAGATCAACTGAACTCCTCTTTCCCACCAAGGACATGTAAGATTTCACCAAGGTTTTCCCAACCATGATAGAGGAGTTCACAGAAGAGAAGGTGAAAACCGCTGGTCAGGATACGAAGACAGGGAAAGCTCCCGGCCCTGCCACCAGAGACAATAAAGATATTAGCAATTAAGAAACCATGTTTGATCAGAAGAATATTTAATGATCTACTGCAGAAACAAGAGTTTCCCAGGGACTTGAAGAAGGCGAACTTGGTTCTACTCTTAAAGCCCGGGAAACCCCCTGATTCACCGACTGAACGATCCGTATGCATATCCAAGAAGAAAAAGAAACAAATGACCGCGGGAGTACCCCAGGTGTCAGTCCTGGGACCCTTACTCTAGAACATGTTATACAATGGGGTACCAGAAATTCATTAGCAGTAGACAAGACAGAGATAATAATTCTGAGAGGACCAAGGAAAAGAGACGACTTAGTTTTCAAATATCAAGGCTCCGAAATAAGATCCCAAAGGACAGTCAAGTGTATCTCGGTATTACTTTCGACGACCTGCTTACCTTTGGGCAGCACATACAAGAAGCATGTCGAAACCTCAGCGTTGAACAAATTAATGCCAAACATAGAGGGGCCCGGATCTCAGAAGAGATCAGTTATTTTACAGTCAATATTATCGATCATCTTATACGGGGCCCCCGTGTGGCACGAGGTCCTCCAGATAAAGAAATATAAGGACATGCTCTTTAGGGCTCAAAGGAAAACTCTGACCAGGGCGTGCAGCGCGTACAGAACTGTATCTACCATTGCCTTACAGGCGGTGGTTGGTTCTGTACCCGTGCACATCCTAGCCAGGGAGAGAGCTCGAATATGTCAGAGGGGAGCGGGGCAGTTGGTTCAGTAGTAAAGGGGCACAAGAAAGAGCCAGAAGCTTGGAGTTTTGACAGAGGGAATAGGCAGCCGAAGTCGAAAAGGCGGCCTGGACGAGGTCCCTGGTCCCGGATGTAGTGAGGTGATATGGGTGTCGGCATCGGCGCGTCAACTACTATTTCACGCAGTTTCTGACGGGGCACGGATCGTTTCGGAAATACACCCATAGAATCGGGAGGTCCGGAGACGATCTATGTCCTGAGTGTGGAGTGGTGGATTATGCGCGGCATGTGTTCGACTGCACTGCATACCACACGGGGCGAAACGTACTGCAGCTGCACCACTCATCGAGTGATCCTTAATGAACACTTATAAATATAATGTTTCAGTTTATAAAAAGCTTTATATAGATTATTATTATTGAATATAAACTGCTAATAATAGTGTGCATTTCAGATTCGGTTTTTATTTTTTATTCATATTAAGCTATGTAGTTTGCAATTACTACTTTTTTGATAATTAATTAATAAAAAGTTGAGTCAATTTTTTTCTGTTTCGACTTCAAAAAATTAAGAGAAGAAATAAAGAAGGTAGATCAAGAACATACAAACTAAATGAAACCAGCTCATATTTCGCATGACTGAGAATAGATTAGTAAAAATAGTAGTAAAGTGATAAAAATCAAATAATCAATAATGGTTGTTATAGCATTTCTGTTTTACCCCGTATATATTAAAATATCGAAAAATATTTTTAATCTTTTTACGTCTCCGAGATTGATAATATAAACATTTTTAGTCTGTTTATATTAATTTTAATTGCTGTTTCGTTTGATCTTGATTCCAACTGGAGATTTGCGAGTCAAATAAATATGAATATTTCCACTTAAGTGGGTGGTAGTGATTCAGAGAAGAGAATAATTTTTGAGGATAATATCACTTTTCGATGGGCTAGGGCCGAAATCAGTCAGTTTCATTGTTTCGTCCAGATTTTCTTTAAGTTTGTTATTGTCATTCGTTTTTGCCATCGGAAATTAGTTAGTGAGCAGTAAAGGAGAGGCAGATTGAGTTCAGAACGATAGAGTTTGTTCTCTATCGAGTGAATTTAATCTCAAAATGCTATTTGGCAGTCTTTGTTTAATGAGTTAGTTAATCACCGTTTTTGAGGATTCTGTAGTCCGTGCCACGGGGTTTGAAAAATAGCAATTCCAAGGTTTTAAGAGGTCGACATGGTTTTAAGTGAAAGTTAAGTAGCCGGGTTTTGAAGAACACATATAGTTATCATCAGGATAACCTGCAGTCCAATTCGATGTTTGACCTCACCGAGATTTGTCCATTTTGTGTCTGCATTAGTCAAGCCAAGCCTATTATAAGCCAGTATCCTATTACAAGGCAATAAACTTTCTTAATAGCTTAAAAGGAAATAATCAGCTAATGAAGCAAAATAGTTTTTGTTAAATTTTTCTAAGTAAAATAAATTATGTTTTGCTTTCATGACAAATAAAAAAAATTATAAATAAATATAAGGTTTATGGATCAGCTAATTGTCATATTTCAGATTTCTTTTAAATAAATTACCCTTTTAAATAATAATAAATATGTAATGTTTCTTTTTACACCAGGACTTTAAAATTATTTCTTTTAAAAAGATTTTCAACCTTAATTTTTTTTAGGAAAGAAAAGCTTTTCTTTCTAACCAGCAAGAGGATTTTTAAACGGCGTCCATTTTAAATAGTTTAGGAATCTTCTTGTGTACTGCTGCCCAGGAGATCTCTGTGGGTATTTTTTATTTCTTTTTTTTTTGTAGTTAGCCCTCCCAGTTCCTCAAATAAAGAAACCTTTATCCACCACCCAGCTCTCAAACCAAAACACGAGTAGCCGTTAGCAAACGTTTCAGTTTATTTGCTTACCCTATCTCCAGCCCAGAAATTGTTCAGTTCCCTCTTTCAACCCCATATAAACAATTATATATTGTTACAAGTGACGCCCAACGTGGTTGGCAAGTTAAATTGCTACATTATCAGTATGCGATGAACAGATATTTTCAAGATCACAGACGATAAAATTTAAAATACGTCTACTAATCTGCAAATCATATAACTTTGCTTTGAATTTGTGTTCCTATAGTCCCAAAAGTAGGAATGATACTCTACACTCTTGCCATATTTAGCGTTCAATTTCTATACAAACATTTAAACTTTAATATACTGACCTGTAGTTGAATTATATCTTGGTTCCGGACTTGGTAAAGGCTCTGATAAATTACACAAATTAGGAACATAAGTGGCTAACCATTCTGGTTCTATAGCTGTAACACCCCTCATGTACATTTTATTTGTCTCATAAATTTCCTGGTAGACTACAAATTCTGGTAAAGATTTTTTCAATACTGATCCTCTATGCAAGAATACAGGCTCTTCCATATTATTGGCATTGTACGCGTATTTGAATTTTACATAATTTTCGTTCACTTCTTCGGGTAAGATTTTCTTGGCTACTTGGTCGCCCATGCCAGAGAGAAGTATTTGTCTTAAAAGAAACCAAAATTAGAAAATAAAAAAATAAATATACAAAAAAATTAACTGTATCGTAATTCGATACATTTTTAGTTTACAACGCTTATTTTGGGGAAAGTAATATATTCTCAAACGATCTATTACAATATGTACAGCTACGTAAAGGTATCTGTAAAAACATAGATAGGCACATGTTGTGTATTTGATTTATTTAGAATAGACCGCTACCGTAGTAGCTATTAAGTTAAGTCTCAGCCATCGACATACAAGATCAAAAATCATTAAAATGGCATGAGGCCACTAAAATGGGCCCTTTAAAAATTGGCGTGACAAATCTTCACCAAAATTGGTATATACTCTATTTCTCATCTGGTCTATTTTAAGTTTGTTCATTAAGAGAAAGAAAAATCCCGAAATACATTATAACAAGATATGCATATATTGAAGGTAAATAAACGAGACAGGCAGAAGGTAAACAACAAAGTGGTAGGTCCGAATGAAGAAATAATACAAAATGATAATAGTAAAAGATTAATTCAAATTTGCGAAAACCATCAACTAAAAATAACAAACGGATTTTTTAAACACAAGGAGATACACAAATATACATGGATCCAAGTAACCATAAATTTAAAATCGATCATAGATTACGTGATTACAAAACAAAATACAACATTGCACGTAATGGACACAAGAGTATATAGAGGAGTATCGTGTGATTCGGATCACTTTATGGTAAAGTCCGAAATAGTTTTTCCGTTTAGATCCAAGAAAACAAAAGAACCACCTGAAGACACAGAAATTGTTAACACAACAAATTACAACCTGGACAGCTTACAACATGTAAGTACGAGAACACTATATCAACGAACACTAAATGAAAAATTAGTAGACATAATCAAAAATGTATCCGTGGAAGAAGTGTATAAAAATATAATAGACAGTGTGCAAACAGCCGCAAAAGAAGCGCTTGGTTTAAAATCCCAACGACACAGATAAGAACTATAATGGACCGAAGACATACAAAACCTAATAATGGAGAAAAAGAAAGCGTACGCATGGTGGCTAAGTACTAAACATCAAGTAGACAAATACAAATATATGGATTTACGAAGAACAACAAGAAGAGCAGTAATAGCAGCAAAAAAAGAAATGTGGGATAGAAAATGCCAAGAGATCAACACTTACATAGGCGGAATAAAGTGTTCAAGGACATGGAAACTTTTAAACAAAATAAAGAACACAGAAAGAAATACTACTTCTATTCAGTTACTACCAACAGAAAAATGGAAAGAACACTACGAGAATTTGCTAACAGAAAGTAGAGCAGAATATACCACACAATCACCAACGGAAGTATTTGTTGAAGGCGAAGAGATGGTAGTGGGAGTAGATATGGTGAAGAAAGTTGTAACTGAACTAAAAAATGTTAGAGTTCTGATGTTCTTCCATCCATAAAAAAGGAAATAAGTTGGACTGCTCAAATTACAGAGGAATATCGGTAACTAGTACACTAAGCTGGGTGTACGGACGAATTCTTAGAAATCTCATTGAGATAGAGTATAGGGAACAAGAAGAAGAACAGGCCGTTTCCTCGTCGGAAGGACTTGCACAGATGTCATCTGTCTAAAACAACTAATCGAAAAAAAAAAAATTAGCAACCAATCATGAGACCCACCTCATGTTTGTTGACAAGAAACTAACATTAGCTATACTCTAATCAAAGCTTTAAAAAATCTATATGAAAATTCTACATCACAAGTAAAAATTGGCAACAGACTATTTAAAAAGTTCATCTTTAACAAGGGTCTGCGCCAAGGATGCTGTATTTCACCAACGTTGTTCAAGATATATGTTGCAAAAGCACTAAATCAGTGGAAACGTAAATATCACGGTATGGGTATAGACCTCGGAGAGGTGTGTTTATATTCCTTACAATTTGCTGATGACCAAGTCAATCATAGCTAATGATAAAGACGATCCACAGTATATGGCAAGGAAACTAAAGGAGGAGTCTGAATAGTGGGACTTGGAAATTAATGTGGTAAAAACTAAATTCCTACCCATAGGAGTTGAGTTATCCAATATCGAAATGGAGAATAATGAAGAAATCACATCCTGTAGTGAATATACGTACCTGTGATTAATCTTCGACAGAACGGGAAAAGACGATGAGGAAATAAAGAAAAGGGTAACACAAGCTAGAAGAACAATTGGCTGCCTAAATGGAATACTTTGGAGCTACGAAATAGGAATAAAGCGAAAATACAATATATGAAACACTAATTAAAAGCAGCCTACTTTACGGAGCAGAAACTTGGCGAATAACCGAGAACAACAGAAAAAAATTAGAAATGTAGAAATGGATGTGTTTAGAAGTTCGTTATTTATATCCCACAGGGAAAGAGTTCGAAATGAGGAAATAAGACGGCGAATTTGAATAGACGGTTACTTAACAACAGATATTGAAAGGAAACAGTTAATTTGGTATGGTCATGTACAAAGAATGGAAGACACAAGATTGCCCAAAAAGATTATGCAGTGGGTACCACCAAACCGTAAAAAACGAGGAAGGATATATATATATATATATATATATATATATATATATTTGTATCGTTTTTGCCTCCGTACATACTACAGACGTCCCTCGCTCCACCAAAACTAGAGGTAGTATATGCACATATAATACATCATTAACCTTATTTTGATGTATATTATAAAGGCAAAGAAAGAGGGGTAAATATTTATTAACCTAGTTTTATACAGTTATTTTACTTGCGTAGTTCTTGTTTGCCTCCGTAGACTGAACGTACTCTTTGGTCTCATTTGCATATTTTATATGATGTTGCAAGTGCGGTTCCGCCTCTGTAGATGTTGCCAAATTTATCGTGTTATTATAGTGATCGCGACATATTATGATTCATACTTAACTTTTTCGTATTTCTAGTTTGAAATTTATTTGCACTCTTTCTTTTCGTCTTTTTATTATGTATTGTACAGTGGTTAGGTTTCTCTTTATAATCTTCGCAACGTTTTGTTGTGTTTTACCTTCCCTGTTATTCTTTAATAGTGTTGGTACTGATAAAGATTATTAATGCTTAATCGCTTTCGTCCGGTGGTTTCCCGAGTTCTATGACTTTTTTTCGGCGATTAACAAGCTGGTCGAACTCTGTCTCATTTCTCAATATAGTGTGATAATACACATTACACAGTTTACCTATTTAAATACTTTTATAAATATGTCAGAACTGACAGGATTAAAAAGATAAGTTTAAAAATATCTAATGTTAATTAAGATTATAATTTCAATTACTATTACCTTATTGTCATCAGTAAATCAAACAATGATGTTATGGCCAAGGTACCCCGAACAGGAGGGAGGATTTTATTGGAACTTGCTAACGAGTTACAGTGACTCACAGTAAATAAGGTCATTCGTTTGAAACATGTTTGTTGCGAAAAATATCTACATTTAAAATTTTTAAACTCAATGTTGTAATACAACTTTTAAAATAAATAATATGAAAATAAATTAAACAAAAGTTTTCCAACCACAGAAATTTTCAACCACAGAAACATAAGCGCTAGGGTGGAACGAAAAAGTCGAAGTCATTATTTTTTTTTGGGCTAGTGCGGAAAAGTTGCGTTTTGATGTATAATAAAACTGTAAAAAATATTTTTTGGATTTGACCCTATCTTCAGGTTCCATATTGAATTTAAATTTTTGGAAATAACAAAAAAAATTAAAATTTAAAAAATTTTTTTTTTATTAGTTTTTTTAATCAAAATAATTGTTTTATGATACAATATACATTTTATGATTGGCAGTCTGATTTTGTGTTAAAAAACGGCATAATATTTCTAGACTGCAACCTTGAACGAATAAAGCCATCTCTTGATTCTGGTCCATAAACAGCAGCTGATGCTTCAGTTACTAACTTAACAGTTCTTTCCACAGATTGGGTATGACCGAGGCAGTTTAAGACCTCTATTTTGTTGTGATTCCCGGAATCAATCATATCCCTTACATTTTCATTGGAAATATGTTTTAGCAAAGGCGGAGCCGTAACACTGCATTCAGAAATAGAAATTAAGTCAATATAAACTTCAGCACTAAAATTTAATGTTGGTATTTTAAATCTCCGGATCTTTTTTTTTCTGACTTTGTCTAGATTTCAGCACTCTGCGTAGTCCTAGCTCCCGTATATGTTTTCGTTCATCTTTTATCATTCCGAGTAATAAATTTTCGGGATGGGCAAAATAAGCATTCCTTTGGATAACTGCATCGACAATTTTTCTTTGGTCAACTGGTAGAAATCATGAATAATGGATCATTCGCCATAAATGTTTCGAACCATCAGAACAGCTAGGATACAGTTTTATATAAAACCAAACTGGTGTATACACTTTTTGGATGAAACTTACTAACATAATTAATTGAGGGCTGGGACATTCAGTGCCAACATACAATCGAAGCAACCGATTAGCAACTGTCAGCCACCTTGCGTATGATATTTTCCCAGGTTTTTGAAGGCTCAAATCGTTAGGACATTTTCCTGCAGAAACTGCTTGACTGATTTGGTACAAGTACTTCTGATCGGTACTAAGGTCTGTTGTTTCTAATAATACTGGTAGGTTGTTTTCTATGGCAACGAAATTGACGACAGCTTTCTTTTCACAGCGTTCCAGAAGTTTTCCTATTGACCCTGAAAAACCAAGTGGTCCACTGGTGCGTCCATCTAACTGTTGTATTAAATGACGTAGAGGTAGTTCGTTGCAATGAAATAAGCATACTAGCCATTGAAGTGAGGTGCCGCAGTATTCTTCCAGTTTTCTTATGGCGCCTACTTGAGGGCTAGTGTTCACTACCGTACCATCGCATCCAACTGCGCTTAACTTCGATATATCAATATTATTTTTCAGGATGAATGTCTGTATGCTATCCGCGATGTTTGCAGCCGATCCTGATAAAGGAGACACGTGCCCTAGATATCGAGAGCCTGGTTCTTC